CCCGCCCCTTTTTGAAGATACACCGGGCACCTGGCCGGGGTCGTTATTTTGACTGGATCATCAAAGTCACAAACTGGGGTTGCTTCCCTTTACTTTGTTAGAGGGGTGACTTTGGGTTAAAATGGGCCAGTTCGTGTGCGTCAGGTGAACGATGAGGAGTCGAGGCAAGCAGCCTTGAAGTGCCACATGGGCACGGGGACCTTCTTCCGAGAGGAAGGTTTCGCAGCTCGGCGCGTCCCAAAACACAAAAATCGGCCCTTCGGTTGGCAAAGGGAAGCCAAGCGGAAACCAAATGGGGGTTCCCAAATCGGGGCTCCCAAAATGGGTTGGTACTTCCAGGGAAGCCAAGAGGACATCGTTTTACGGGACAATGTCGATGAACATTCAACAGGCACCGAGGCTGCAGGCTACCCGATATTGGAACGCCCACGCCGTTTGTTGCGGCGTGCAATCCTGCTGAGGTCAAAGAGCGGTTGTGGAACTTTGAACTGCACCGCTGCAGGAGCGCATCGTGAGATTTGTACATGTCTCTTGTACATACCCCTTGGGCAAATAACACAATTCGTACACCATGCTTGACAAGGGGTACATATGAAGTGCTTGGCAAGGAAGCGGAAAGGGGTATGTACTCACCGGAACCCCTAAAACGGGGCGGTTTCGAGTTGAGACCGTTTTGGGTTGAAAAGGAAACCAGTAGGAAGCCCCATGTTTAAGACAACCAGTTTGTGAAATCAAAGCATTTGGCGTCGGTTTCGTCGTCGGATTTTCGAAAGCGGAGGAGCTTTCTGCTGGTGTCCGATGAGCAGGCGTTCCGCCGCCAGACCGGGGCCAGACCGGGGCCTTGCGGTGAGGGCACGTATCGACAGTTTGACCATGGGTCCATTGCATGGGCCCCGGTTACTCGCAACATCTCACAATGAATATTGTGGTAGCTCGGCACCCGCCCAAAATGAGGTGCCCCAATTTACATATACCCAAATGGTCTCCAAATAGGGCACCCCAAAATGGTCATGGTTCCTTTTTGCTTCCCTTGAAACCACCCCCCAACAGCGGCAGAGGCCTGCCTGGCGGCCATGACCATCCGCATCAACCCCTACATCGGGTGGTGCAAGAGCTGGGCCCAGGTGGCGAACATGAGCGCCGCCCAGGACGGCGTCAAAACGCCAAAAAAAAGCGGCGGGCCGGCGAAAAAAAAGGTCGCTGCACCAGCTGATTTCGAGGGCCCTGTCTCAAGCAGGTGTTTTTTTTCCTTTTTTCCCCCCCTCCCCTTTTTGTTTCTATTGTATGGGTTTTTTATCGACTCCGATCTTGGGGGGGATTTCCAACCGAACGATTTCATCCAAGTAGGTCCTTTACTTGGGGGGGGGAGGGAGGGGATCCAGAAAACCAGAGATCCAGAGTTTCCTGACTTCAGGTCTGCTTCTTCAGGGTTCCTTAAACTGCGTCCGAAAACCGTCGAATCAGCTGGCATGTTCAGTGGTCCTTGCGCTAACTGCCCACAGTGCTGCTTCTGCCCGTTGGTTTCCGGTTTATGGAACAAGATATGGTTGCCTCTAAGTGAGTGCATAATCATTTGCTAATACCCAGTCAAGATTGCCATCGTGCACCTACCATTGCAACAGAAGCACTACGGAAGCGTCAAGGGTGGGAAGCGGGGAAACACCTGAAGACAGCGATATCTCAGATATCCCATTAAAGGAATCAAAGGAGCCTTGCGCTTTGTTCAGAAGTTTGCACACGGTTTTCAGCACATTCCGATACAGACGTGTTTCAGGCGTTGTTTGTCGCGTTGCTGTTGGAACGTATGTACGTTTTGTTGGGACACGAGCTATATTCAATCGACCCGGTGACAGGAGCGCCGTGGGTATGGTCGCCTGCTTTTCCGGGCAGTGGAAGATCTACTGCTTCGGGAAGGAGCGAGCCCAGATCTTATCCGCTGGAAATCTGTTGGAACCCCCCAAAAAGCGATCCAAACTCAGGACTGGCATTTTGACCTCATAGCCGTAGCCGTTGGGGCATAAAGACGTCGGAAATCGATGTGCTGTGCGTCAAGCACGGCTCCTTCACCGACTACTCCCATGAGAAGTTTTATGCTGCTTCCCAAGGCTGCTGCACAAAAACGTGCGATGAGCAGCAGTATAACATACAGCAGTCCAAGCATGATTCGTGTGCGAGGACTCTCTGCGTTCTTAGCCAGGTTTGGCTTTATTAGCGGCTCGACAGTAAGCTTGAGCCGCAGGACAAGCCAAGTCAGGATCGAGCAACAGTAAGCTTGAGCTGCTCGATGAGAGGCAATCGAGAGTTGCATTACAACCGACAGCTCTCCCAGTTCATGTGCACATGAATCCTATAGAGAAATGGGGCTTCAACATCAGTCGTGGAAGCAGCCTCTACTTTTAAGACCCAGTGACTCGCAAGACCGCAATTCCGTTCCCGCTGTCTAATTTTCTGCGCTCGCAAGCCTTCGGAGGACCTGGTACAGGCGTCAGCAGTTTCATGGATTCTTCGAATGGCCATGGATCAAAATCCCGTACCCCCGGTGAACATCCCAATCCCCACTAAAATAGACCAAAATGGGTGGTGCACCTACCCCAAAATTGTACCATTGGTTTTGACCCACAACCGAATGGCTCCCCAGAGCTCGGCGTTTGGTTGGGCTCCCTGCATGGTGAAACTCGGCCAGGAGTCGATGTCTTGGCGCTCTATCCGGCTGCTTGGCTGGTGTCCCTTTGAGCTAGGGCAGTCCCATCCACGAGGAGGTTCTTGAGACAGTTCGGGCAGACTCCACAGAGGGTTTTTAGTTCTTTACAGGTCCTCAACACCCCGGTTCCTTCGACTTTGCCTTGAAACGTCGCCACAGCGGGTGCTTACTCGCTTGATTGGTTGTCGGTGGGGTGGGCTGGGGCTATCCCTAAGTGTCGAAGAGTTGTCATGGGGTTAGCCTCCACAATGGTCGGTTGGCCATAAACTTCCTGGTATTTCTGATGTGGTAGATTCAAAGTTCATAGCCATTTGGCCATGGGTCAAAACAAATGGGATCCCATTTTTGGGTAGGTGCACCACCCATTTTAGTCTATCTTAGTGTGAATTGGGATGTTCACTGGGGGTACAGGATTTTGACCCACAGCCATTTGAGCCCAGGATCGTGGCTAGTGTTTGGGGCAGGGTCCAAGAGCGCTTGGCACTCTGAGTGAGGCGCCCAATGGCAAGGCGCCCATGTTCTGGAGCGCCATGGGGTTCCACGAGGCGGACGGCAGCTTCTTGCCCCCTGAGGACGCGCCCTTTTTTCTTCTTTGTTTTCTTTCTCTTGTGCATGGTTGTGGTTTTTGTTTCAAGCTGGGAAGACCGATCATCAAAACGGAAAGCGCGCCAGTTGCCAGTGCGGTCCTTCAGATGCTGAGATGCTGGGCTGCGCCACGTTCGGTTCGCTAGGAGCTTCTGCCGTTCAACCGCGGTGGGCCGCTATGGCCAGAGGTTGCCATTTGGTGGCAATTGACATGTCTCAGGGTGAGCAGTGAGCTGCTAGGCCCATCGCAGTGTGCTCGTAACCTTTGTTTTTCAGAGGGATCCTCCTCACAAGTGGTTCGTGGACATATCCCGCCTCATTTCGGGTCGTTCTACTACCAGTGCTTTGTAAGTTGCTCAAGTTTTTTTCGTCAAGCCCATTTCAAAACTCGCCACACCATCCTAGAACCAAAAATCAGAGCAGGGTTTGGGGCTGAGTGGAACTTCACGCCCAAATTCTCCGGCTTCGTTTCGCCTTTCGCGCCAACCCCGAGACGGGCAACAAGCCTTTGGCTCGCTTCGAGAAGCGGATCGCCACGACGGAAGCGGTGAGGAGGACAGAGGTGGTGACTTTGAACGGCCTTCCAATGCAGACCCCCGAACTGGGCCGGGGATGCAGAAAAAATGATTATCATCATGCCTGTCATCATCATGCCTGTCATCATCATCATCATCATCATCATCATCATCATCATCATCATCATCATCATCATCATCATCATCATCATCATCATCATCATCATCATCATCATCATCATCATCATGCCTGTCATCATGCCTGTCATCATGATCATCATCATCATCATCAGCAGCAGCAGCAGCATAGGTGTCATCATCTCGTCTTTTCTTGTTTCTTATTTCTGAAAAAACAAAAAACAAAACACACTTCAAACGTAACGTTTGAAACGCGCAAGAGGCTTTTGTGAGTTGTACCCGACAGGAGCCCCTCAGAACTTCGGTTTGGGGAGCTGATCGGGCAAATTCGCCCGCACGTGTGGCTGGAGGCGAGGAGATTCATTGGGCTTGCCTTGAAGTGCTGGTAGTTTTGTGACAGCAAAACCAGTTCGAAACCACACCCAACCTATTCCAAGTTTTTGAAAGCATGCCTGTCAAGTTGTTGCTAGTGGGTGGTGCCCCAACAAACACAAGCATTGCCTCTCAAAGCAGCAAGGATATGTGGCGTCCAAATGGCTGTGTCAACATGGCAACAGTCCGCTTGGATGAATTGCCTCCGATGCTTGGACGGCATTGGTTGTCGCTTGTCATGAGCAATTTACTCCAAGTGCCGTTCATTATGCGCAGCCCAGGCCGATCAGTTCCTCTGCCCCGCCCAAGCCAACGCCCCCCCAGCCCAAAGTCAAGGCTGAGCGGAAGCCCAAGCCGCTACCGCCGCGGCGCCAGCAGCCGCCCCGCGCGTGCAAGCCGGTGCGCGAGGTAGCGGTTCCGCCGAGGCGTGCGGCGCCCGCGCTCGAGAACGAGGCGAAGAAGCAGCGCTTGGCATCTGCGCCGGTGCCCGCACCGCCGGCCAAGGGCCCCCGTGCCCGGGCCGATGCCCGGGCAGCCCCGTTGCCGCAGACGATTCAGACGACTCCGGTGCAGCGCACGCGCACCCCACGAGCACAGCTGTCGCCGGGAGTGACGCCGAGCCTGCCAAAGCGCAGGGCAGAGGTTCTGACGCCGGAGCCGGTCCGCCCGACCTCCGTGGCCCCCGTGGCCCCCGTGCTGCTGGCTGGGCAGTCTCTGCTGAAGCGGCGCCGGGTGGAGTTGCAGTGATTTGAAGATGAAAAGCAAGAATTGGGGGGGAGTGGTTCAGTGGTGCCGGGTGCCTCGTGATGTTCCATTCGTTTTGGGGTTCTTTAACAAATTGAAGTTACATTGCAAGAGAATTGCCTTGCAACGGAGATGACGGTATTAGCACGATGCATTGGGCCGAACCCTGCCTCTTTTTTTTGTACCGACTCAAGCAAAGGAGCGCACATGCACATAGGCACATAGCCCACATTGTTCATTCATCACCTTGCAATCCCCCACAAAGCAGATCAAGCCACCAAAAAAGAACAGTTTTGAAACTCGCATCCAGTTTACAATGCTTTGAAACTTGCATCCAGTTTACAATGAACACTCAAAGGACTTGAAACAGGAATCTCACCGGTCCTCGGCCATGCCGGAGATCCTGCTGCGGCCCCATGAAGAGGCCTACATCAAGGACAGGTCGCCTGGCGACTCGATGGGGTTGCGACGGGAAGGTGTCCATTCAGGGGCCCATTGTTTTGGTTAGTCGGCTTTTTGGACGTCCCATCCGCCAACATCAACTGGCCACGGCGTTTTGATCCGTCATCCAAAAGGCAACATTTTCGCACCACATGTGTCTTGCTGGCCCGGGTTGGCACGTGACGACCGCACCAAAGCCCCTGTGCCAACGTCCGCGCGGAGGCGCACAGAGAGGAGCTGAAGCGGTTCAGTGGCATGGACCTGGTCTTCGAAGCCCGGATGCGCTTCATGGAGATGCCGCCCGGAAGCAGCTTATCAGCGAAGCCACGGTAACTGGGATCCACTTGGCTGTGGTTGTCAAAACGGTTTTGGGATCCCATTTTGGGGTGGGCGCACCACCCATTTTAGAGCCTATTTTAGTGGGGATTGGGATGTTTGTTGGGGGTACGGGCTTTTGACCCATGGCCACTTGACATGATTGGATCACGGGGTCTTGTTTGAGCCAACAAACTTTGGTTTCCCTGGAGACCAAGCAACACACCTTGCTGGTGCTCAGCAGGGAATGAGGAAATGACCCTTATAAACAATCGCGTGTAGTTTCCTTTCAGGTAACCCTTTTTTTAGAGACCAGCCTCTGCTCTCTGCCTGAGGCCCGTGGCGGATCGCGAAAAGCTGGCGCCCCATTGGATGGAAGAGGACCAGCCGCTGCTTGGACCTTCTAGGACCTGTGTCCCAAAACGAGTGCAACTCTCAACATAGCTCCTAGAAAAGGGGTGAGGTGTTCTTTGGCAGCGACCGAGGTGCCCTCAAAGAAAGACATGCCCGAATTCCGGGATCTTAAGATGGCCTGTTTTTTTTTTGGTTTCCCCTTTCTCATCCAACAGGGAGGTGGATCCGCCTGGAGAACCCTGGCACTCCCGGGGCGTCTTGACTTGGAAAGTGTCCATCTCCGGCCGCCTCTTTTGCCATCGGTTTTGGTCCTACCTGCTTTGTTTACATGTGCCGGGGGGGCCTTTTCGCCTCTGGAAAATCGAAAAAACCCCCGAGGAAGTGAAGGACTCCTTCAGGGGGAGGTGGCAAAAAGACCCCCTCAAAAGGTAGCACCCCAGATTCCTTTTTGATGGGGAGGGTACATGTAAATGTGGCTCAAAAAATATGAAACGACCGGAGGGGCGGGCAAACCGCAGGTTCTGGTACCCAGGTTTCCACTTACCAGACCAAATGAACCCATTTTGGGCACCTCTTTGTTTTTTGGTACCCGCCCTGTGGATGGGTTCAAAACACGCGCCTCCCCGCTCTCCGACCGGCCGGGCCCGAGGCTCTGGCAGCCGGGCTCCATCCCGCTGTCCGCGGTGACGCTCCGCGGACGTTAGAAGGGGCTCCTGCTCGTTTTTTTTTTTTTTTTTTTTTTTTTTTTTTTTTTTTTTTTTTTTTCTGAGTTGGTCGCCTTTTCAGGTGGGTGTACGAGGGAAGCTAAGAGGAAAACAGTCTTGGGCGGTTTTGGGGCCCCCAGAAAGGTTCCGTTGGGGTCAGATTTGGGGGACTCTTGCAAAGGAACTGGGGCTGTCAATGTTCAAAACCTTTCGTGAATGTGCAATCATTCCAGAACTTGGAACAACTAGCTCGAATACCCTCTCTTTGAAGGAATCTAGCTAGAACAAAGCAGGTATTTGGAGTAGCAGCGGGAACGCTGAGGATTGATGAGGAGCCGGAGGCGCAACCTTCGGTGCGACTCATCGAGCCACTGCCGCCGCCCCTTGGCTGAAAATGGACACCCTTTTGGTATCTGTAGGGAAGAAAGGAGACCAAAAGGAGGGAGGCAAAAGGACACCTCCCATTGAATGTTTACCCCTTCAAAGACGCCCCTTCAAATGTTGCGACTCCCAGCTGGCCGTTTTTTCCAGCGGTTCTTTTTTGCCCAGCTTCGTTCGTGAGGCTACAGCTTGTCGCACCGGAGCCTGAGCCTGCTCAGCGCCCTGTCCAAGAGTTTATTTTATTTTTTTAATGGGTGCGCTGGGCGGACATCCCCCAAAAAAAGGATCTCGTGGTTGGGACTCCAAAAGGATCCCCCGAAAGTACCCTTCAAAGGATCCGCCCTTGACAGCCACAAGGGAAACATTTGTTCACCAAGGGGTCCCGAAAGAGATTTGTCATGCCCGGATGCATTCTTCCCACCACTCGGCCCCTCTTTTCCCATGCGTCCAGGAGCGTCTGATGGTTTGTCCGACCCGATGTGGTCGGCCCGGATGAAACCGGAGGTGTGTCTCAAAGGGAACTCCCAACAAGGTCCCGCCGGAAGTGGTACGCCCAAAGAGGTGCTCCTCTTCCCACTAAGATGGGCCCTGACGGGGGTCCCTACCAGAGGACGTTTATCCAGGTACCCTCCCGCAGGTGCTATGTCAGTGGGAGGGGATGCCAGTGGCTCACTTTTCACCCAGAAGGTTCGGGGTTTCAGAGAATCCAAAATGTCCACCTCAAATTCAAATGCGACCGACAACATGGCTATGATTTTCAAGAGGGTACCACTTCGAACATGGCCATGAATAAGGATGTCCACCACAGAATTCCCTATCAAGGTTCGCACCCAAATGTGGTATGAGTTATAATTGGGGCACAGCCTCCCAGACCAGATAGGTGAACAGTCATTTCCCTGGACATCACGCTGACCAAAGCTTGATGTTGACTGTTGGAGTTCTCGACGCAACCGGTGTTCCCTGAAACCTTTCACTGCTCAAATCATGGGGCCTGGAAACTACATCAAGATCCGGATTTGGACCTCACGTCACGATTCAAAGATGGGTCAGGATGTTTTCCTGAACCAAGCAGGGTGCCAACTTACAAGAAACATACCCACTCGCGTGTCTTTTTTTGGGATCCTGCTTTTTTTTTTTCTCTTTCTTTCTCGGGGTTGGTCTCAAGGGACCAACGCAGACCCGAAGCACGAGGCCTGCGGAGGAGCCGGCCCCCGAGCCCAGCTCGGCGCAGGGGTCCCCGAGAAGCTTGCTCCGCGACGTCCGTTTTCGTGCGATCGGTGCGTCCAACGTGTGGTTTCCTTTAAGAGGACTGGGTTTGTTCCCTCATTGCCTGCTCATCCAACAGGTGGTTTCCTTCTAAGAGGATATCTGGGCTTATTGACCCCCCCAACCCTCCCACTGGTGGTTTGACTTTTTTTTTGGGGACCCCCGGGGTTCACTCCAAAATATTCCCTGATGAATCGCACAAGTTTTCTCTGCCGATTTTATGATGCGAGCTCAGTGATTCGGGGAGCGAAAGTGATGGTCAAGGTCCCTTTACTTGGGGATCCGATTCTTAAATTCGCTTTTGGAATAGTAAACAATTGCAGGGTGTCTCCCGTACGTGTTGTGCGCAGGCTTGGAACTCCAAAGCTTCCCTTTCAACTCTTCAAGGAGATAAAGAGGATCCGGGTGCTTCCCTTGGCACAACTCACTTTTGGGTTGACCATTGTGAATGGCCCCAACACAAAGTTCAAGGACGATTCAGGCAATGGGCAGCCTAAACTGGTCCACTTGAGTTCCAGAAGGGGCCGATGTTTGACATGTTTGACAATTTTTGGATCAACTCCCAGATGTGGTTTTGCTTATTTTTGAGTTGGTGCCCTTTTCAGGTGGGTATAGGTTCGGATATCCAGCGCCATTTTTGACTAACCTAGTGACTAAAGCCCTTTCTGGCCAATGGTCTGTAGGTCTGGAGGTCTCAAAATGGGTTGCCTTCGGTGTCCATAACGACTCCCAGAAAGGGAATACGGGGGTAGCCGCAACAAATGACACACCCACCTCGTTTGGAACCACAAGTCAAACCAAGAAGCCAGGAAGCCGGCCATTTGGAGTTGGTTTTGCGCACCCAAATCTGAGTTTCCATGCCACCTGGACGATTTGCGGAGTGCCACCCACCTCGTTTGGAACCACAAGTCAAACCAAGAAGCCAGGAAGCCGGCCATTTGGAGTTGAGTTTCCATGCACCTGGACGATTTGCGGACCCTGTGCTTCTGCCTCAAAACACCATGTGGGGTCCCTCAAAAGTTAAATCTCAAGTACCGACTAGACTTCGCCTCCAGTCCCCCCCGCCCCCCCCCCCCCCCAGGCCCAGTGCACCCCCCCCGCTCCCTTAGGGAATGTCGGGAACTGAGGGAAGCCGAGCTTGGCTTTAGAGGACAGGGGTCAAAGCCGAGGCCCAGAGAAACCGCAGAGCCCGAGTTCGCTCTCAATGCCGCTGCCCCATGGCGTCTTCCTTCCGAGACTCTGATGACGGGTGTAGGTGTTCTTGGCTTGGGTGGCCAATTTCTGGCGAGGAGTTTTGACCCAGGGAGTCACCACAAGGAGTCTTCATGGCGCCTTTGGCTTAGGTGTTTGGCGCCCAGACGGAGGAGCCTGCCCAATTGGATGTGCATCGCTTAGTCTCCAGTGACTCCAGTGACTTGTCCGGTGAAAGTTTAGCTCATGAGTTGAAGCGACCCCCCCCGAATTCTGGCAGCTTTTGGGTTTCTTATTGGTTTTATTTGGGGAGGGATCGGGAGTTCCCAGGAGCTCAGGAAGTGGCCTTTTTGTGCGATCCAGCCAACAAAAATGCGGGCAGTTCCATTGGGTTTGGTTGCAGTTCTACGTCAGGTTCGCAGCATCCTGGAGCGCTCTGCTTAGAAAAGTGGCGCTCGAAGAGAATTTGGATCTCACCAAAGGTGAGGCGCAAGGACGGCCGGAGAAAGCGGGAGCAGCGCATGCATTCGCAGCCCGAAATCCTGAGAGAACATGTCCTATATTACCTATATGTTACCGTCTCCCTGTCCTTATTTGATGAGGGAAGGACCGGTTCGTTTGGTAGTTTGATATTGGCACAAGATGCCAGCATGCAGGCTTTGTTGGCGCTTTTGCAACGCCAAAATCAGGCCGCGCTGCTTTGCTCAAACTTGACCCTGAACATCATGTCTTTGTGAGCCAGCCTTGAGCAACTAGGACACCTTTCCGCTTTTTGGGAAAGCTTTCAAATGAGCATTCCAGCCTGGCACTAATCCCCCGAACTGCTTGCCTTCAACTCCGATCAGCTGCCCTGCTAGCAATAAGTCTTAATGAGGAACGCCCTCACCAGTTTGTTGGTGGTTGCAGGAATCCGTTTCTTATTTTTGTGATGTCCACCAAATTTTACATGGGTGTGCCTATCCTCGGAGGTGCTGCCAGTCTTGGGGATAGTCTGGAAACATTTGGATGCCATTACATAGCATTTGCATCGCATTCATTGCATTACATCACATTACATTTACTGGTACATTTCAATTTACATTACATTACATGTACACTTACATGTACATGTACGCTACATTACATGACACTTGCGCTAAAATAAACGTTACATGTACATTGCGTTACATTGCATTGCATTTGCATTAACGTATGTTACACTAGATACACGTAAGTGTGTGAAGCAGGTCTAACCTCCACCTTTGCAGCCAATGCGCAGGGCGCCTTCGTTGTGATGTCCGCGTCGAGTGCGCGGCTGGGGGCGGCGCTGGCGGTGCCGCTGGCGGCGCTGGCGGCGGCGCTGGCGGCGCTCGTGCTGGAGAGGCGCAAGCGCCAGGAGGCGCTTGCGGCGTTTCAACGGGGAGGGCTTAGAGTGCACATCTTCGGTGGCACATCAACTCCTTTCTGTTCTTCTTTTTCTTGGGGGGGGGGGTCAGGGGCAGCGGAGAGGGGGGAAGAGGCGGGGGGTCTTGTTTCCAGCCAAGTTCTGGTTGAGGCGGTTGTTTAGAGTAGGACTTGCAGTTCGGCCGCGTAGAAAGCAGTTCCGGCGAATGAGTCCTTCTACCGTTGCGGCGACTAAGCCTTTCTACCGCTACGGCGAATGAGTTGAGTCGTTCTTGTTTGGGTACGGGTCAAGACTAAACCGCCAGACCTGCGTCCACGCTTCCATTTACCCGGGCTCCAGTTTGGGGATTTTTGGCCCACGGCCGTTGAAAGAAGTGCCCTTTTCTGGTCGAGGCGGAGGCCGCGGCGGAGCGCGCCGCGCGGCTGCGGGACGAGGAGCGCAAGGCAGGGCTGGCGGGTCGCGAGTGGCGCAATGAGTTGGATGGAATGACCCCAAGGAAAGAAACCGTCCGACTGCTTTGCTTGAGGAAGAATGGGTTTGCTCCCATCCAACTGGTGGTTTCCCTTTTTTTTTGGGGGAATGCTGGGTTCCTTCCCACATCCCCTATTGAGCACCAGCAACAAAACTCTAGTCCGAGGTTCAGCCCAACCACAGCAAGGATGAGTCCCGGACCCCGGGTGCTGGGTGCCAGACGATCTTCTTTGAAGTGAGGGATGAGCGCGTTGGAATTGGCTCACCCCCTGAGTTTACGCCTGTTTTTTCGGCAAGTCCACTCAGGAAGTGAGGTGGGCCACAGTCCAGGGGTCCTTTTTTGATCCATCACAACGCCGCTGAGCCACAATCCAAACCCAGGATGAAGGTAAGGGAGCATATCCGCCCTTTCCTTACATGGCTCGGATATGCGACTCAATGATCTCTATTGATTCAAAAAACCATGGGTGCTTTGCAAAGTCCTTCGCTACCAGGTTTTGATTGTGACTCAACTGAGTGTTTTTTTTTGCTTGACCCACTCCTTTTGTTTGCATGTAGGGAAACAAGAGGACCACTCTTCCGCAGGTTTCGCTTTGCGCCTGAGACATTGCAATTGAACCATCCGCATCAAACAACACACGAGCCCAGATAAAATTGCGATCCGTAGGGGGATCTGGAGGTATGGGGCAAAGGGGTTCTGTTCCCATCGCCCGTGGTGAGGCCCTTCCAAAGGTGAGTTTTTCTTGGGGGTGAGGGTGTGTTTAAAAAGTCCGATACGGGAATCTCTTCTCTGCTTGGATTGGTGCCAATCCAATCCAACCGACACTCGTCGTTCGCGCGCTTCGGTGTCGCGAAGAAGCCCATCCGCGGTGTCAGGGCCGCATCCGCGCAGAGCAGGAATTGCGGCGCAGGGCCGGCGAAACCGGTGACGCCGAGAG